GAGCCCGCTTTAACATCTTCGCACAAATGGGCGACAAATGGCGCGTCATGGTTTTACACCGGCCGTTGTAATACCACGACCACACAGAAAACAGGCGTGAAGTGGAAGCAATTCCGCGTTTCTGATGAGTGTGGTGCCGGAGGCCTAATTTTAGTCCCTTTCCCTTTACACCCTTTTCTTAAGAGGAAAGGATGGGAAGGAAAAGTGGATTTAACGGTGGAAAAGCATAGGAAGGGGAAATGTCCTCTTTATGTGCGTCTTCTCCTCCGTCAATAAGGGTAGGCAACGAATCTGCAGTGGGGGATGTTTATGGGCAGCGATCGCTTTCCATTGCGGTGGATTCAGGTGGCCGCTTGCTCGTTTGCCACCTTACTATTATTAAAAAAATTTATGTACTTTTTTAACAGGGTATTTATCAACAATGTAGATGTTACGCTCCCATTATTTTAATATGCAATTTATAATGATATTGTTGAATGTTAAATATTGCAGTAAAGTATTCGATTCGAATGACTTCGTTAAAAACAATCGTAAAATGTTCAGAGATTAATTTGACAATAAATTAAATTTCAGATAAAACAGTACATTTGTGTCAACCTTTATCCGCACATGGGGCCACGAAACCCGAGATTAAAGTTTACCACATAAAGGAAAATGATATATCTCGATGTGTTTATATAAAACTAGCTTTCGCTCGCGACTCCGTCCGCGAGGAGTTAAAAAAATGCAAGTAGCCTATGGATGGATGGATGTTTTTTAGTGTTTGTAGCCTAAAAGGCTTAACTGATTTCGATGAAATTAGGTGTAGATGTAGAGGATAGTCTAGAAGAACATATAGGCTACTCACTTTTGTTTTTTTTTTATTTAAGCGGACGGAGTCGAGGACGAAAGCTAGTTATCTATATACGAGTAGAGCTTTAGTTCAATGATAGTATAAATTATTTTTTAAAAGACTGGTTAAACGTCAGACGTCCTTGACAGTACAGATGAACCTCCGTGCATTGTTATTGCGCGGGATTGGAGCGAGGTCGGGATGAATGTCTTGTGTTATTGCCTACAACATGGTACTATGAAATACTACGCAGTTCGGTACTTATCGCCTGTTAAAATTTCGATGTTTCTTTTTTTTTTGATATCGCAGATGTTTTTATTTATGGTACATTAATAGGCTCAGTATTTCTCTGTTTAAAACTTATGTTTATAACATGTGCTTTGTTGTTAACTTAGGTCGGAAATAGTCAGGCCGGGGTTGCGGACGTAAGCGAAAGCGTACCCGTAACCCCGGCCTCAGGCGTTGGAGGAACAGAGGGGTTTAGTGGGTATGCCCCCCATTATGGGGGGAGTCCCACATGACTACCGCGTTGCTACCTGGGCACGGAGTAAGCGTAAAGCATTCACCTCGGGCAAAAAAAAGAGTCCTAAAATAGTCAATTAAATTTTTTACTACCAAAACTTTGTTAAAGTTTAGAATTTTTAAGGGACATACATAATGTTGGGTTTGATCGCAGAATTTAGAGGTTAATGGTGTTGAAATTAAAACTTACTTTATTGGCATAATTTACAGCGACCCGGCTGTGATATACGACTCTCGATGTGTTTGTGTTCGGGATCGAACGGGATCTCTTTGTTTTAAATTTGGCAGATATTGTATTGGGAAGAAAAACGCGTTGGCTTTATTACATCAATGTAATATAACTTTATTAAATACTTATATACTTATTTGTGAATTAAATTTACCATACGCTAGATTAGTTTAAAATATGTACTAAAATCAATTGCAGAATTACTTTTTTAAAATTGAAACGGAAGTAAATGTACCGTGTTATTTATCTGTATTCAATAAATAAGTATTTTGAACATAAAAATGTTCAATATTTTCCTAACATGTTAGGTAAAAAACGAGGCTTAACTAATCTTTGCGCGTGTTATTGGATCACGTCCGACTCGCGCGTGTCTCTCGGAGACGTATCTTATTCTATCAGATATAAGTCATCTTGTATGGATTGAATTATCAATCACTTTAATAGGTCAAGAACACAATGGCGCCGTTTGCTTACTCTATGTTCCGGAAACGTTGAAAACATTTTTTTATTGCTGATGCATAATTTAAGGTGTTTAACGACTTTTATGATAATCTAAAATCTTTGAAAATACTTGATGATTTTTCTATTGATATTCTTTTTGAAGCTGAAATAATATTATAGATAAGCGAAATCTCAATTGGCTAATAAGTACATGATTACATTGTCTTCTTGTAACAGATTGCGGTGAACGGTTCAGTTATTTTTTTTACGTCTGTATAGCACAAAACGTAATAGACTGTTATTAAGAAACAATTATCGAGAGTTTTTATTTCGTTCGTCTATTGTTAAATTGCATGTCTGAAATGCTATAAAAAATCAGCTCCTGGAATTAAATAGACCTACTTAAAATGCAGTTTTAATTTGTTTTTAAATGTTAATTATAACATTTGTTACAACGCTTATTTTCATTAATATTAGATGTCATTTATTTTTTAGTCATACTTCATACTAATATTGTAAATGCGAAAGTTTAGATGGATGGATGTTAGAGTTTGTAACCTAAACGGCTGAAAGGATTTCGATGAAATTTAGCATAGACGTAGAGGATAGTCTGGATGAACATATAGGTTACACAGCTTTTATTTTTTTAATTCCAGGCGGACGGAGTCGCGGGCGAAAGCTAGTCCTATCATATATGTTCAAAATAGCTTGACGTTACTTTATGAATTGACACAGCTGTAGAACATAGTCTGAAACAACATAAAGGCTACTTGCTAAAGTATTTTTGATTCGTAGGCAAATGGTAGCAAATTGTACTTTTGCAAATTAACATTATAAAACAAATAAAGCATATACGTTAAGTACCTGTTAGTACACCAATATTCAACTTATGATATACAGTACGAAGGGAACGATAATCGATTAAAGTTTATACTAAGCGGCATCTGCGCTCGGACACCTCAAGCATATGGCAAGGCAACAGTGGCCATTCTGTCACAAAAAAAGAAAATCGATTCTTTGTAGCTTAAAAAATAACTCGTATAGTAAAAATCATAAACATGTAGTATGTCGTGAAAAATACCAACAATGTGTGTAAAATCAATATCTTAGTAGGCATTGGCTGCTTCACCTTGCGACACATTTCATACCCAATTAAGATGAGTCAGTGACATAAAATGATTATTCAGCGAAGCGTGCGTTATCTCATTTGGACGAGTAAATGGCCTGTCCGTTTGAATTATACGGGTTCCGGGAAGGCTTCCACGCTCACTGATAAGATACGCCTTTTGAGTACATAAGCATTTCCGGTAGCGTAACAAACAATAGTTCAACCATCTTGTTACTAGTGTTTTTCCGTGACATCTACGCGGATTTAGATGAAATAAGTGACCTATGTGGTGGTAAAAAGGTGGCAAATGAGAAAGCGGCCACCTAAATCCGCCAAAATGGCAAAGCAACCGCTGCTTATAGACATCCGCAATTGCATATGCGTTGCGTACCCTAAATCGACGTAGGAGGAGACACACTTAAAGAAGATGTTTTCCCTTCCTACGCGTCTTCTCCACCGTCAAATCTACTTTCCTATCCAATCCTTTCCTTATAAGAAAAGGATTGGACGGAAAAAGGGACTAAAATTGGACCTCCAGCACCACTCTCATCATACCCGGAATTGCTTCCTCTTTGCGCCTATCTTCTGTGTGGTCGTGGTATTGCACCGGGTGAGCCGACTTTCGTGCGAACATGTTAAAACGGACTGTACCACACATATCCTTTCATCGAGATTAAGTCGTTTTTGAGATAGACGTATCTTGTTTGTTGTAACAAATATACATCCATTTAAACTTTCTCATTTATTTTAGTATGAAGTATATAAATGTTGGACTTCGACGGACTTTTCATGACAATTTAACTTCGATTGAAATTAATATTCGATATGAATCATAATATTAAAGTAACTTAAATAGTTTTTGAATCGAAGTTATGCTGACTATGGATGTTGTGTCTGGTACTATCTAAACGTTACTTCTAACTTGGAATGCAATATTTTCTTAGTGTAAAGTTACTCGTGTTCTACTTAAGTTAAATGTCAGACGATTTAATAATATGATACCTGTATTTCATTAATTTTACGAGCTTTAGAAGCTCCGTAAATTTTGTACTAATTACTTGTTATGTTAGTATATCATACTAATATTATAAATGCAAAAGTTTAGATGGATGGATGTTTGTTAGAGATTGTAGCCTATACTGCTGAACGGATTTCGATGAAATTTGGCATAGATGTAGAGTATAGTCTGGAAGAAAACATAGGATACATACTTTCGTTTTTTTTAAATTCCCCGCAGACGGAGTCGCAGGCGAAAGCTAGTAAGTTATATTTGCATTAAAATAAGTAACATTAACAAGTAAAATAATAATCAATGAAACAAGCAATTCCGAGTCCATTTGAAGGAAGGAAGCATGGTTATTTTTAAATATTGCCGATGTTTTAACTAATTTTTATAAAAACGTAAACGTGGCAAAAAATACATGAGCAATCTAAGGTCTACATTATATTATTGAAATAATTTTTCAAAGTATAAAATAAAGTTATAAAAATGAGAATTTAAAAACTATTCTCTCGAGCTCCGGCTGCATTACAATTTGGAAAAGTTTCGTGGAAACTGCGCGATAGGTCAGTTCCTCTCAGTAACATTGTTAAAACTTACGATGTAAGAGAAATATTACCTAGACCGAAACTTTATTTAATCTATGATACTAGACGTTATTATTTTTAAATCTAGTATTTTCAGTTAGAGTTAAAAATATTATAACCAACACAATAAAAGCAAATTTTATACATTTAAGGAATCATTAGTAATTAGTGCAAATGTTCAAACAAACAATATGATTAAGCTCAGTTAAAAATAAATCTATAAATGTTTGATTTTAATTTCAGTAAAAGTCAAACGACAAAAATAAACAAATGCAACTCACCTTTTAATATCCACCGGAAGGCTTTATTAACCCGGCAGTATTCACAAAAAAACAACACAGACAAAAAAAGTATTAGAACAAAAAGTTCGTGGAAATGGCGCGCAAAACTGACAGCTGTCAGAGATGAAAAATTGTCTGTCGGAATGGAGAAAAATGGATGAAAAGTCGTATATCGTATTTGTATTTTAGTTTGGTGTCTGCTTCGCGCCGGTTGGAGGCAATGGAGCCCGCGTAATGAATGGTCGCTAGTGAGGTGCCTCGTTGAACGGCTTTGTCGGTAAATGTGTGCCTTATACTACGCTCTATATATTTTGATACTCGTAATTAACATGCAATTATTATTTTAATAACATAAAAGTGTTATACTTTTATTTATGCTGTATATAAAAACACTACTACTTTCTCGGCTTTGAAGCGAAACCTAAGTTGGATACAGTCAGTAAGTAGTCAAGTAATATTAAATATTATTTTTTTTATTATCTTGTCTCCTTTACTAATGACTCCACTTATTAGTACCAAACAAAGTAAAAAGAAAACTGTAATAATCACTTGTAATACATAAGTAATAAGAATACATCTTTGCAAATTACCCTCATTATCTTCGATGTACTAAACACCAGTACATACTAATGGATTAATAATAAATGTTAGTTGAATTACAAGTATCAACATTGTTTGCGTGCGCTTCATTTATAGCGGTCCGTAGGTTCGCACCGAATCAGCTTGGCATTTTGGCTGACAAATGTCTGCGCGGGCTAGTGCTCGCGGGTATGGAGTCTAGACTTATTTTAATGCACTAAAGATTAGTCGATGTCTTAGTTATTTTAAAAAGTAATTTCATATTGAAACTGTTACAATACAACAATAAGAAAAGAGAGTTTTAAGGACGTCCTAAATTATAAAGTCTTTCCTGTTCAAAAAATAAAGTGCCAAGTATAAAAAACATTGACTTTTATTGGTTTAAGTAATTTAGATAAAAATGTAGCATGTAATTAAGAGTAAAAATTAATAGCACTGATAATCATAAGATTATTTCCTTAAATTCACAAACAATCAAGGTAACGTTATAAAAATGTGTTGAAGTAGATAATTTTTTAAGACAAATTCTCAAATAAAATAAATGGAGTAGAAATGTCAATATGCGTGACATTTATGCAAAGCTATTTTAGTTAACGTGTCTTTTGACTTGTTAGTGAGGAAAGGGAACATCAGAAAACAATGATTAATTAGTACATACTGACAAACACTTCAGACAGGCTATGTTTTGTAAGGCATAATTTAATTCCTACTTGAAGCTTAAATGTTTTTTAATTGTATAAAATTATTCAGTTAAAGCTTCAACTTTACCTTTTATTTCTTTCATGTAAACCTTGTTTTTCAGGTTTGCAAAGTTATGCCTTTATAATTGATGACTTGATTTTATTTTTTATAACATGCATGGCTTTTTTTTTACTCGTATAAATAATGGTTATCTTGTCTTTCTACTGTTGTCATCATCATCCACTTGCCTTTATTACGGAGGGTCGACACAGTATGTGCTGCTCTTCCATACATCTCTATCAGCCGTCGTATCTGAATCCATTCCTTTCTAAAGCATATCCTCTTTCACACAATCCATCCTTATTTTCTTCGGTCTTTCCACTGTTGTAACATTATTACCATCACTTTCATATTCTACTAGCTGTTCCCGTGCGACTTCATCCGCATGAAATTATGAAAAATGTATTTTATTGTTTACATCTGTCAAATTACAAATGTCAACATGACATGACAACATTGCTTCCTTATTGTTGGCAGCAACTTACGGTCTCTTTCCCACATTAGGGTTTTTATCCAAAATATTTACCCCTTAGTATTTTGGCGTTAAAATATATAGCCTAAAACGTGACGTAAGTATAGGGCTTTTTATTAAAAAAGAATTATTAGAAATTATGCTGTAATTGCTGACATCTTAGGCAACAAAGATGTGTGTGTTTACGCTTTATCACAATAGTATAGATAGAAAGAAGAAAGATAACAAATTTTTACATAATCTCCATCGATCTAAAGTAGACAACGCAATTGTTTATAGATAGGTCGCTTTACTATTTCTATTCCAGTTTTTTTTTTATATACAAAAAAAGGGGCAAACGAGCGGTGTGAACACCAAGGTGGTCAACGACGCCCATGGACATCCGTAACACCAGAGGAACTACAGATGCGTTGCCGGCCTTTGAGGAAATGGTAGGCTCGCTTCTTGAAGGAC